AGTACGCTCACTCTCTCTGCAGCATCGATATCATCAATTTCAGATCATGCAGCAACACTCCTTGTGCCCGGCCTTATTGAACCAGAATGATCATCCTACTCTGCTACGATGGGATCCGTAATTCCCCGTATTTTCCACACTACAGCATAGTCACAATTTCAGATTCGAGGACCTCCTCTGGGTGGGCACACAGCAGGGTCGACTGGCTTCTATGCAATTCACGCCTAATGGTGGACTCACCGACTACACACGTTTTCGGTATGGCTGCTACCACTGCTACTGCATCACTACTGCTTGCCAGGTTGGAGCGTAGTGTGGTTGAGGAGGGCTACGATGGAGAGGGTGGTGGTTATTCTCCAATATCTAATGGTGGGGTTGTTGCCTCCTACAACCCAGTACAGCATCTCTTATTCGACCAATCTGGCGTTATATCGGTCACTCCCCATAGCATTCATTTTCATACTAGGGGCGGCGTGCGGCACTATATAATGGACGATAAGACTATACATAGGATGGGATCAAATGGCAACGTAGGTTGTGGTCATGTTACACTGCTAGTAGTAGTAGTGGAGATGTCCTCAGGTTATACGCAGTGCTGAGTTCTACCAACCCAATCCATCACATCTGGTAGTCGGTGGTGAGAAGAGGACATTGTTTTTCGTGGATATGCAAGCGGGTTCCCTCAGCACCTTCATAGACGTACGACGGTAGCCATCCTTATACCGTCATATGAGTACCAGTATAGGTTCCGCATGGCTGCTCAGTATTACATAATCCTCAGCGTTCATCAGTCCTGTGTATGGGTGGGACCAACGGCAGTATCAGCTTCGTAGATGGCAGGGTTCCCAAGGTAGTAGCGTAATAGCTTCTTCTGATGCACTTGCTGCTACTTTGAGTACCTCTCGGCCATAGGTGTTGACGACGCTCAATGCACATCCTCGTGAAATAACTACGCTCAGTAGCAGAGACCACTGGCTCATCAGCTGCGGCAAGAGGTAGCAGTATGGTCATCCGACAGGAGATCACCTATACCATTGTTAGAGAAGGGCCAGGCTCCATAGTGGGACCAGATGTGTTCTTGAAGATATTCGATATTCGAACACTACGCCAGGCATTGCCGATATCGTGTCCGACGGGGGCCTATATGGCTAAGTAATGCTATGTCCAATCGACGGTTGGCCACTCTCACTGTTGGGACGTTAGATTCCATCCTGCCTTGCCCTGCTCTGTTATACTCCTCAATGTACACGGTATGTGGCAACAGGCTGACTTCGTCCCTGGAGCGTCACAGCTCATGTCACCAGCGTATGCCTTTTCGTCGTCAACAATGTCATGTTGTAGGTATATGTAGCTGTAGGTACTATAAAACCGTTGCTGTGGGTCATCCGAGAGGGTATAAGAACACAGTCATTGCACGGAGCTCTATGTAGGAGTGGATACTGCTCTTGGTGGCGATCATATAGGGTCATAGGTCTGATAGCTCTACTGTTGGATCCTGTGGTGATGGTGTTGGCTCGGGTGGTAGTGGTAAGGAAGTGATGGGCGAGGTCATAGATATGGACATAGCTAGTACTGGAGGAACGGTAGTGGAATGACGAATGAGTTGTCGATGGAGTTGTATTGCATCAGGCTGCCTTGCTCGATAACAATGGTTGGATACACCTATGGCAGACAGTATCTGAGAATGCTATGCAGTCCCAGGGCATGCATGCTAGAGTTAATCAGTACTCCAATCCTACAGGTATATCTTTCCCCCTTCCAACCTAATCCGAGTATATGCAGTAGTTTTCAGCTCCTCACAACACAAGGTCTCGTCACTTGGTGACGGGTATGCTCGATGGCTCGACTGACAATCGTGTATTGGCCGAGGAAGCCCGTAGCGGTCGGCAGCGGCCTCTGTGTGTGATGGACCCCCGTACCAATAATATCAGCTACAACTACCAAGACGTCATGCCACTGTGGCCGGTTGGCCTGCAGCCAATAGCGGATGATGAGGAGCAGAGGTGCTGGGAATCTGAGCCTGGGATCCACGCCGCATTCACCACTGTAGGCAATATAATAATCTGCCTGGAGCCTACTATGATGATGAACATGACGGTTGTCGTCGTCTACGGCCTCCACAGACGATCCTGCCTGCGGTGAAAGACGCTGCTAAAGCTCAAGGTATGGTAGTCACTTGATCCCGTCTTACCAGGGACTTATGTCAGGTATAGATGTCAGTAAGCATCCTGATAGCCCTAGAGTGGCCTCGGGGATACCAGTGGTACATATGAAGAGATCATCCTCTACTGAGGCAGTGATTAAAGGGAATGCAATACTATGGTATACTACGAGTTTAATGAACGAGATGTCTGAGGAGCTGAGGACTATGAGAAGGGATAGACGCCATAGGTAGTGGTCAAATATGCTCATCTTCATATTGGCTGGTTGCTGTATCCAGGCATCCTCGTGCGGAGTCGCAATTGTCGGATATCCTCACTGAGAGTGCGGAGGAAGAGAAGGACCCTATCACTGGTCTGGCAAGAATTCCACGACGGTAATGGGAGGCTGTCATAGGTAGGGTTAACCGGTCAACATTGCTGTCTTATCTAGGTTCCAGTTCACTGAGATCGACTATGGTCAGAACTATAATCGCTTCCCCTTTGCCAAGTATAACCGCTCGAGGTTTGTCTGTGGTCTCGACAACAGCTATGGTGGTGGCAGTAACTGGAATGGTATAGAGTTCTGCAACAATGCCATTACCCATGTACCTGATTTCTCTCAGAATTTTTATCTTAGCAATGGCGTTCAGATACTCTATTTCATCCGTCCATTGATGCAAGCAGCCGAGAAGCATGTCTGCTCTGAGGACGTGTGCGTATATTGTGAACTAGGTTATGTCTTCCGTATGATGGAGCAGCTCATGTTTGCTAGCAACAGGGTAGACTATTACTCTCAAAGTTACCATTACTCCCTTTCCCACTTCTTTAGATCTGTCAATGTACTCGTCTGCTGAGGACATTGAAGGCTACAGCCCCAGCCGAGCTTCGAGAACCGATAGACTCCGAGCATCCAGCCCTTAGCATGGGCCGCAAGGGCATCCTTTTGCTCAAGCACGTGCTACTGTCATGCAAGCGTACGGCGAGTTCAAGTCCCTCGTCCTCCATATCTTCCCCTCTCTCCAGTGGGTATTCGCCACCGTTGTCAGCGATACGTTATTATCCATCTTCCAATATAGTAACAAGGCTCTTCGGTTTATCCCCACCCCATGGTGTGCCTGCAAGCCCGTTTGTGACGCTGCAGCTCCCCAGTGATGAGGATCTGCAGGAGGCTGTGGACAGATGCCGTGCAGCGGATATCAGCACCACTGAGGAAGAGGATAGCCATGCGGAGAAGAGTGAACTGGGGGAAGGACCAGAAGAGGGTGACACTGACGGTGACACGAATGAAAGCTCAGAAGCAGCTGCTAATGAAGATGAGGCTTCTGACGGCGGGTGTCTCCTCAAACCGAACCATGCTGCCTTCGTTAACATGCTCAGTCCGTCTCTCGTCGGTGGGCATGGTAGCCCTCCTGTCCTGTTGATGGACATCTGCCCGATAAGTGAAGTCCAAGCTGCGTTCTGGTCTGTTGGTGGTGCGGATTTCTTACCAGCAACACTATGGTTGGGATACAATGATCCACATGATCGTACATTAATCACAGACGTCTCCACTACTAAGCCTCGATCTACTGATGTGAAAGTAAGCAGTACTCTTATTGCCAGACCCCGATGTAACTATTTCAAGTATGAGCTCCAGTCCGTAGCCTTACATGTGAGAGATAAGCTGAAGAGGAAGTGTCCCCAAGGGCATCTTGTGGGTATCACTAACATACCTCCTGATTACCATACCGATACATTCCGAACTAGTGGCCCTCCGAGGGGTCCGAGCTTGAGCTCCTCACGAGGACCGGAGGTTGGTGCAGTAGTAGCGGCTGGCGTTGGTGCAGTATCCCCTGCTGTTGTTGGTGTAGTGCCTACCCCTCCTAAAGGCACTCCTACAAGGTTTATGTCGCCTGGAATCCGATCACATCCAAGTCCTACTTTCCAGACGTCACTCGGTGGTAGCTCCCAGATCCCTAGGCCCTTCACTTATGCAGCAGCAGTGGCTGGACGCTCCTACGCCACAGCGACAAGCTTGGCAGATAGCGGTGCTGCGTCGGGTCACGGGGAGTCAGTGACATCACAGTCGCCAGCTACTAGTGAAGAGGCGACCTCGGCAACTGAAGAGGAGGAGGAGGAAGAGGATCCTAACTGGATGGTGCTCAACGACTTCGTTATCACACCTAGTGCGAGGTGAGAGCTTCCCTAGAGAAATCCGAGGATCTAAAACAAGTGCCTTAGGCAAGAAGCTGTGGACTTCAGTGCGGACTGGAGAACTCCCGTCCTTGCAGTCTATGTTCAGAAGCGCTCATTAGCCCAGATAGCTGTGCATGATAGACAGCTCGGTGCTGCAACACCATTAGCCTCATCTACGCTGCATCCAGAAGGGGTAGGTATCAGCCTCAGTAGTGACAGGTTTGATTTTCATGTGCCTTTTTGCTGTAGCTGGGGACGATACCTCCTGGCTGCCATTGCAGTTTGGAGATGTTCCTCGAGGACCACTGCCTCAACGCTGATCCTGAGTCGGCCAGGATTACCCGTAACTTCGTGCCATTGACGGAGAAGGAGATTGATCGGTTACTGCACGGTGGCCTCACGGTTGCTTTGGATGCAGAGTTCGTTGCTATGGGTTTGGCTAGCGTCGAGATACGAGAGGACGGCAGCAAGGAAGTGTCCTCACCTGGCGAAATGGCTGTTGGTCGAGTGTCGGTGCTGAGGGCTGATCCCATGAATCCTGATGATGGGGATGAAGGGATTAAGGAAGGAACACCATTCATTGACCACTACTTGCAAATAGAAGAGTCTGAGATCAAGGACTTCGTCACGCGGTTCTCCGGTAAGCTCGAACTACGTCGTCGTTGTTACAGCTCTCATTCATCTAACTCAGGCCTCGTTCATGGTGACCTCGATCCCAAAACGTCGAGACATTGGTTGGTCAGCAGTAAGGCAGTGTGTGAGAAGCTGCGCTTCCTAGTCGATTGTGGTTGCCGCTTCGTGGGCCACGGTCTCTCTACTGACTTCAGGTGGGGACACGCGTAAAAGGTGTCACCATAGAGTTATATTTTCAGGATTATCAACCTGTTCGTACCCCAGCGTAACATCCGTGACACAGTTGAGCTCTTCCACTTGCCTGGGCAACGGTATCTATCACTCAAGTTCCTAGCGCAGCATCTTCTAGGAAGCTGCATCCAAACGGACACACATTGCAGTGTTGAGGATGCGAGGGCTGCCCTCCAGCTCTACCGCAAGTACGTGCTCATATGCTTTGTCTTCATGAGCTTCCCTTGTAGGTATCAAGAACTCGAGGCTGAGGGTACTTTAAAGGACACGACCAAACAGTTGTATGAGATTGGTCGGCAGCAGGGTTGGAAGTGAAGTCACCATTGACAACGCCTGGGCAAAGCGCCAGTGTTCGATATCTGGGCATGTTTAGCATTAGAGGGAGCTCAATCACTGCCATTGTTGATCTTCGACTAGGCTACATAGTTACCGTTAGATGGCAGGAGAGAAAATGTCACAAAATTGAGGGGCTTTATTTCATTACACTCTCTTGGCCTCCTCGATCGTGCAAAGCTCTGTACATTAGTTTCATCATCATCACTGCATATTGCGATTACCATTTTCGTTTTGTGCACCGTCCTCATTCAAACTACCATCCGTTCTACTATTCCCACTGCTATTGTTGTCGGGGTGAATACTTTCTCATGCTAAAGGGCCCGGTCAACTCGATATCTTTCTTTCATTCACTCCATGTTTGTTGCGGTGATTTATCCCTCTGATGAAGTCGGTGGTGATCCTGTTAATTACGATCGTTGATGATACTTATGAGGTCGCAGTAGTAGTACTAGTCCGTGCATTGTCCAACATCATATCTGCAACATTACCATTATTTCATAATAACGGCAATCAACAACTGCCACTGTCATTTTTACAGTAACATCTCCAGAATGACATCCTACATGCACTTGAGTTGCATCCCGTTAAATGGTTGCTTAGTCGTGGTAGATAGCCGTCCGTTAGGATGAATGGCTGCTCCAAGAGGAAGTCTCATCCGATTCTGCCGGACTTTAGACGTATGGAGCTACACGCAAAGTTCCCTCTGATGCCGTAAGTCTATTGATGAGCTTCCCATTGGAGGATTGAGCTTGTTCCTCAGGTACGGCCAAGGAAGAAGAATCATCCAGCAATTCAAATTGGGATGGGTAAGAATCCAAGCTTGGTGGACATGAAATACTTTATGATTTTATCAGGCTAACTCTTCCACACATCGTTGCCATGATACATGGCTAAGGTTCAGGAACTGTGTATCTCTGAAACCTCAGCGATTCGTGGAGAGATGCCAAGTTCAGGCAGCATTGTGAGAGCATAACTTTCTCCATCATGACGGTCCTGAAGACCCTAGTTTAGGCATTTGGATTGTCTCAAGATGCACGGTCATGGTAAGGCCGACGAAGCTCGAACAGTCCACTTTCGAAGGTCGGTGGCGACTTGCTGAGTTAGAGAGTTTGGAAGGCGATGTGACCACAGGTTCTTGGAGAGATTCCGAGTCTTCGATGAGAAATACTATAAGAATAAGAAGTATGCTGACCCAACAGTCAACTCTCATGGGGAAGGCACTGTCTTTCAATTCACCAGCGCTTCGTCAAATCCTCTAGGAGGTGGTGCTTGGTGAAAACTGCCGAAGATTCTCACATTACAGCGTGGATACTTAGCATGTTTCTGACAAGTTCAAAACTTTTGCGTTGTGATTCGCAGAAGATGTTGAACGCGAAAGCCTCATCTTTCACACCTGAAATGGTGATGTCTTTCAACATAGCAAGGCCAGCACCATTGACCATGCAACCGATGCTACCATCCAAGCCAATGTAGTTGAGATCCCATTCAAAGGCGGCAACCTCTCTGGGATCCCCTTGGCTAGCGTCTCTTCGAGAGAAGATGTCCTTCTGCCGGAACTGCACATTGTCATCAAAATTGACCTTAGCGTCACATACCGTAACACGGCCATCTTTGATCTCAGCGCGGGGATTGATTTCGACCATAGTACAATCCGACTAGCGGAATGTCTGGTAGAGAGCCTTAATAGCAATGACAGCCTCATCAACGATTTCACCCTCGAAACCGATCTTTTCGGCCATCTCCCTGGCCTCACCATCGGAGATTCCATTATCGATGTCTACTGGTATCTTGATGATGGCGTCGGGGTGTTCAGCAGCAACATCCTCTATACTCATCCCACCATACTTGCACCCGACCATAACAGGCCCACCGAAGGAACGGTTCATGAGGATGGCGAAGTACTTCTCTGAGGCTATCTTAAACCTCTCGAATTTCGATAAACGGAGTCTTCCTTTTCGAGACTCGAAAAGGAAGACTCCGTTACAGGGCTAGCCCGTCTCCCCCGTCTGCTTGGTGACGAGAGTTTTGCCAATCATTCTGGAGGCCAAGTCTTTAGCCTCAATCGGGTTCTTGACGATATGGACGCCGCCTTGGAAACCATTCTCCTTGAAGTACCCACGTCCTCGACCACCTGCAAGGACCTGAACAGAACGACGAGTTGTCTCAGCCGATGTGCAGAGAGTAGTGACTGGTCCAATGACGTACCTGAGCTTTAACGACCACATCCCCACCACCCAATGCCTTGGCGAATTGTTCAGCCTCTTCGGGAGTCTTAGCATCATACCCATGCGGTACGCAAACTCCGTACTTTTCAAAAACGTCGAGCGATTGATGCTCATGCAAGTTGAGATGGCGAACTTGCAGACCTCTGGGTGCGAAGACACGAGGGTTCCCGTTGAAGGTGGAAAACATGGCAGTGTTGGCCAGTGGTAGTACACCACGGCGTATTGTAGTGGAGCGGCCATTCCTGTTGGATAGGATTGGCAGCATCGATGAGAACGAAGTTGTGGGACTGAATGCCAATACAAACTGCGACATTGGAAAATATCTCTGCAGTTAACGCCTCCTTAAATATTTCCAAGGAACGCGACAGGTGGGAGAACCCGCTCAGTGTGGGGGGTAAGCCGAGAGGGAAAGGAGTGCTTTACCTTGTCAATGAACCACCTCTTGTGAACTGTCACTAGGGGGTGTGTGAAAATTACTTTCAGGGCGAGCGCTAATAACAAAACTCACTCGAGCTCGTTGGTAGGTGCTGCGCTCAGCTGACTTAGTCGATTCATCCACTTCGCCATGGATGTGACTTTGCCGATACCAGAGCTGACTAATACATTCATTCAGGATGGTTACCTTCGCCGTAACCTAAAGAGAATCTTGGGTGGCGCAAGATACGCTGAGGTCGACGAGGACTTGCGAAGGTTCGGCTCGGAATGTGCTGGGCCTATTAGGGAAGCTGGCAGGCAGTGTGAACTTCATACCCCTTATCATATCCCCTATGACGCGTGGGGGAATAGGATAGATGAGATATGGACTTGCCCTCAGTGGAAGAATATGCATATTATAGCGGCCCAAGAGGGCCTTATAGCTCTGGCTTACACCAGACCGTTAGGGAAGGAGCTCTCTCGAGTATACCAGCTGGCCAAGCTCTACCTTTTCGCACCATCGAGTGGGCTCTATAGCTGTCCGTTGGCCATGACTGATGGTGCGGCATTCGTTATTGAGAAGGTAAGGGTTTGTCCAGACAAGTTCACGTGTGATATGTGTGCAGATTTTGAGCGAGTCCAAGCCGGCTAGCGAGAGTGAGAGGTATCGCAATGAACAACTCGAGGCTGCCTTGGGGCACCTTATGAGCCAAGATGGAGAGGAGTTCTGGACCAGCGGTCAATGGATGACCGAGAGAGGCGGTGGCAGCGACGTTGGGGCTGCAACTGCTACTACTGCGGTAGAGTCGACTAATGAGGACGGGTGGGTGCCGAGAACATCGCGTAGCATGATCCTAGTATTACTGATCTTAGAGTATGGCTGCTGACCGGTAACAAATGGTTCACATCAGCGACTGATGCCCAGATGACTTTCACGTTGGCCCGTACGCCCGACACCAATGGACGTCTAGAAATGTTCTACCTACCCGCAAGGGACCAACAGGGCAAGCTCAATGGACTCAAGGTCATCACAAGTGGGGCCCTGGTATTCTCTCTATCACTGCTGAGTAGATAGTAAGGCTGAAGGATAAGTTGGGCACACGGCAACTCCCAACAGCTGAGATGGAATTAAACGCTAGTAAGGCGGTCAGGGTAAGGGTGGGGTTCCCCTTGTTACTCGATCGTTCTTTTTTAGGTGACTTATGATGGTCGAGGACTGAGTATGATAATGAACTTGGCATCGATCACTCGAATACATAATACTGTATCGGCAGCAGCTGGCATGAGGAGGATCATACAGCTGGCTAAAGACTACTCTACTAAGAGAGAGGCATTTGGCCGCAGACTCCAAGAGGTAACCTCAGCAGGTCTGAGGTATACTGGGGAAGGTGGAATGGTCTCAGTTGCCGGCTCACGTTGCTACTCTGGCAGAGTTAGAGGTGGAAGCTCGAGCGGCCTGCTCGTTGTGGTTGGAGATGGCAAGACTGTTGGGCAAGGTGGAGGCTTCCACTGCTACTGACGATGAGGTCACCACTGAGGTCTGAGAGTCCTTGGGGTACACTGTCGCGGCTTAGATGATGATATTCCGTCTGTTGGTACCGCTATCAAAGCTGCAGACGGGCAGACAAGCGGTTGATGTAGCATCCAAAGGTATTGAGCTCTTCGGTGGTGCTGGGTTTATGGAGGATACTGGTCTACCCTCGCACTTACGTGATGCCCAGGTAGTGTCATGCTACCGCCACACTCTGCTGAGTGCTGTTCAAGGTGTTGGCGATATGGGAGGGTACTAGTAATGTGCAGGCGATGGATGTCCTGAGGGTCATCACGCAGACTAGAGGGGAAGCATTAGCTGCACTTAAGCGTAGGTTTGAGTCGAGTATAGGAGTTGATCCCAGGGTGGGTTGAAGAGGTCTATGTCCCTTTTATCGCCTTGTCTTTGTTAGGTTACCTCTCTGTTGGACCAGGCGGACCATTTACTCCGAGATGAGTTCCCTGAGCCCCTGGCTCTTCGAGCGTCGTTTCTGGTCGCCCGTGGTGTGTGTGGTGGTTTGATGTTGGAGCATGGCCGACATGAGGAAGCTGTGAGGAGTGATACCATCGCTGCTGATCGGTGGTTGATGGATACGACAACCGGTGTGATGCATGGTGCCAGGATGCATGCGGAAAACAGAGCTCTGGTGTTTGCCGAGGAGGATTTATCTCTCACTCACCGAGCTGGTAGAGTGTCTGCTTTGTAGCCTTCGTGAGGACCTCGAGTTGAGTTGAGTGCGTGGGCGGATGTTTGCAGTGGTGTCTCCTTCCTCGTAAATGACTGAAGGCTTTCGTGAATCACCGGTACCCTATGCGGAGCCTAGCTGGTACTATAAGGGCTGCAGCTCCCCCTACTATACCAACTCGCATCGGGCATGGCGTGGCAAATGTCGGAGCTTTGTGGAAGAGCATGTCATACCGTATGTTTCCGACTGGGAGAAGACTAAGGCTATCCCGCCCGAGGTTTATGTGAAGTGTTGTCAGGCTGGGCTCCTCCCCTGTGTTGTTGGTGCTAAAGGTTTTGACTATGTGGATGCTAAGGTATGCCCCAAGCCAGAGGGTTATGACTATTTCCACGAGTTAATCTTCATCGATGAGTTGGCTAGATGTGCAAGTGGTGGGGTCTTGTGGGGCCTCATAGAGGGCCTCCAGATTGGGCTCCCACCGGTGCTGAACTTTGCTACTGATGCTCTGAAGAAGAGAGTGGCCCCAGCGTGTCTGCGTGGTGAGAAGAAAAAATGCCTTTGCATCACCGAGCCGTATGCAGGCAGTGATGTCGCCAATATCCGTACTACGGCTAAGTTGAGTGCCGATGGGAAGCACTATATCGTTAGTGGTGAGAAGAAGTGGATAACGAATGGTATCTTCGCTGACTACTTCTCAGTAGCGGTAAGGACTGGTGGAGTTGGTATGAAGGGCATATCTATGTTGCTGATTGAGAGGGACATGCCCGGGGTGAAGACAACTAGAATGGAGTGTCAGGGTGTATGGCCGAGTGGGACTACCTTTGTCGAGTTCAATGATGTTAAAGTGCCGGTGGAGAATCTTATAGGGAGGGAGAATGAGGGTTTCAGAGTTATAATGTACAATTTTAATCACGAGCGTTGGGGGTTCGTGGCGCAGGCAGCGAGGCTCTCCAGAGTGCTTTACGAGGAGTCGTTCAAGTATGCTCAGAAGAGAAGAACTTTTGGTAAGACTTTGATGGAACATCCGGTCATACGATGGAAGTTGGCCGAGATGGCGCGTCAAATTGAGGGCGTGCAGTACTGGCTTGAGAGCGTCACTCACCAAATGAATGTGATGCCGTGGGGCGAGAGCATGACGGCCTTGGGCGGCACGCTCGCTTTGATGAAGGCTCACAGTACTAAGGTGAGAAGATAGTCATTGCTATGCTACGAGTAGTGCTGTTACTTTAGGTATTTGAGTACTGCGCGAGGGAAGCGGCTCAGGTCTTCGGTGGGAACGCGTACACTCGTTCCGGCTTGGGAGAGAAGGTTGAACGACTGTATCGTGACGTTAGAGCCTATGCTATTCCCGGTGGATCAGAGGAGATCTTATTAGATTTGGGCATACGACAGGCCGACGGGCTGTATAAGAGCAGGATTTGATCCTGCGCGGCCGTTTCGGATATGCGCCAATAGAATCTCGCTCGCCTAGAAATGGCGAATGAGATTGGATGATTTTTGTTGGTGATCGAATCACATGAGTTTTTCAAGGGCTCATTATCTGTGTTGTTGGTTAATGAATAGTGCTGAGAGGTTATGCCGTCTCAGAAGTGGACTTTTACTGTTACCAGTGCGTGTGAGGAAGTTTAGAGGCAGTTGAACGGCTGTGATCGTACAGGGTCCTTGATGATACTTGTATGAGTTCTGAGGACATTGCCTCAACTATCTTGTGTGTTCCCTATCGGTTTGGTGGTTTACGAGTCTAGGATAGGTCTTGTAGCATAGCGTTATCGGTGGTTAGCAATCGTAATGACTTCTTGCTGTGTTTACCCTCTCCTTTTCTCAGTTCCCACTTGATTGGAATCCTTGTGCTACGTGCATCAATGTCCACTGCTAACGCAAGCTCATCGTGCAATGCAGCTATCGAGCTGCGTACCTCTCTAACCCCACCTCTCCCTCCACCGCCGGGTCTAGGTTTCTCTTCTTGCGGTGATGAGAACATCGGTGCCTGTATGGACGGGACCGGGCTACCGAAAGCTCCGGTTCTTGCTCTCGAGAGGTCGGCAACCGAACGTCTGTCTATGGTGGATGATGCGTCCTTCTCAACTGACGAGTCCCCGTCTTGTGCGCTCGATTCACCGAGGTCGTTGCTGTCCGTGGTCGAGAGACAGAAGACCCCACCCTCCAATCTCACGGCTTGTCCCTTGCCAGCACCTGCTCTTGAATCTAGCGCGGGCGTCTCATCGGTCAAGTGTAAGAAGCCTCGAGATCCCGGCCTGTCGATCAATACTGATATCGATGACCACGAAGTTGACGTGAGATTCATAAAAGCAATAAGGAGTAGAAGACTCAAGTAAGATAGTTGTTGGTCTTTGCCCGTGTCTTCTATGTGCTACTCTGTCTCAGTTTAAACAAGCCCGTGTTCGGGACTGTGGAGTATCACCGGATGCAGTTGCGTGCCCTTGCTAAACCGATTTATTGGGGGAACCGATGCTTGGTAGAACCGGTACGTTACCGTCCATTGCTCCGCCATGGGGATCTCATGTATTTCTACGCACCTCCGCCACAATATGTCGCGGCTAGAAGGCCGAATCCTCGTCGTAAAAAGAACCATCAGTGTCTCCCGTTGGACTGGCTAACTGGTGCCTTCAAGCGTGTTCGTAGCCGTATTACCCGGGCTTCCCAGTAGAGAAGACCCCGGAAACATTCTTCACCATACAGGAATCTCTCGTCACACGAGATTGATTATATTTGCCAATTCAATACTAGCGTGGTATAGTAATCTATATTTTTGATATTGATGTTTAGTATGATTGATGATGATTATCTTCACGATTATTCTTGCTGCGAACCTCGTCTCAAGAGTGCAAAGTAGTAGAAGCAAGTAGCTTATATGTAGCTGCTCATTGGTGCCTTTGCAACTTCTTGATTACCCTACCGTTGTCAGTACGGGCCACAGTAGTGAGTAGATCATGGATACTTCACAGACTTGTGTTTATAAGGATCTGGTTAAATTAACAGCAAGAAGTCGTCAGCCAAGTCGGTGTATGCATCAGTCGTCAGATGAGGACCCAGTTCAGCCTATACATTTACCCGTCGATAATTAGGCTCGGGTCTTTGTGAGATATGACGAAATGGTTGGTAAACAGTGGGGGAGAGCGATGTATAACTCTGGTGTTTACTAAGGGCAACCTCGATTTATCGGCACGTTCGCAATGATTGTTATTCTCAGTGATTATGATCAGTCGACAAAGGAGATATGAAGCTTTTTGGATAGCAGTTAGAGGAGAATTTTTGCTTGTGAACTCCTCTGGGAGAAGCCGGAGATGCTGCACAAGCCGATGATGGGGATCTCTCTTCCACAGAAATTCTAGGCTAGGATTCCTAGCTACATCACAATTCGCTAGGGCATAGCGCAGTTCTATGTCCCAGCGACATAGATATATGTTGCATGGTACTCCTTGGTCTTGACGGATTTCATTACAATACTTGATGTCGAGTTGAAGGGAGTTGTGACAAGCGAGATGCATGTGTTTGTATGATTTTCAAGCTCACCAGTGACATTCGAATGCGCCTGCAATTCTGAGAGTTTACACTCGTCCTCGTGAAACCATCGACACAGCCAATGAATTTCAGAATATTTAAGACTCTCAAGTATTCTAAAATTTTCTTCAGCGAAGTTTTAACTTTGCCGTAGAATGAATGAGGGATTTTCACCGTCATAGGCAGTTTATTTATCAATGAAGGTCTAATGAACAATTATACGGCCTCCATAGTACGGAAGACCGGCAACGGGTATATCAGAGGATATTTTAACGACCTCAACGCAGAAAAGGTATTGAGAAACACATAGCACCCATCGCAATCTCTGCATGCAACACTCAGTGGCAAAATCGGGGCGATCACAAAACACCATGGGCACAACGCTTGGCAGGACCGCTACACTCATCCCCTTCTGTAGGGGGCTCTTCTTCGTGGCAATCACCGCAATCAGTGGAGGCCCGACTGTGTCTGTGGGTGAGTCGGAACCACCAAAGGCCCACAGCCCCAGCTCGGCTAAGACGATGGACCATACACATGAAAGGGACCAAAATGAGCACAGTCAGAGCACATCCAAACATCCACTTTACAGCTTCATCGGGAGGAACATTGGAATGATTAGTGATGAAGCCAACAGATACGAAGGCTATTGAGGCTAACAGGAGAGCGAGGATGGTCATGTCTATTCGATCCTGTAGACTGAGCCACATAAATCGAGACCCATGCCCGGTACGGCATCCTATCTCTAGGAAGAAACGCCAAACGACTTCTCGTGATGGTTTATCGGCTATGCAGCCGGCAGTGTCCAGCGGTGTTAAACCCTCGTGATTGGTGATGTTGGCTGAGGCATGGCCTACATAGAAAATCATACAATTGAGGGAGTTTGTGGCATACCCGTATTATACAGGATGCTACAGCAAGCTTTTATTAGGTGGGTCGGACACTGCGTCGTTGCCCAGTGTAGGGCCGTACCACCCTTGTTGTGAGGCAGTATCATATCGATACACTTAAGAGGTCCCCTAGATGGACCAGGAGAGGACCTCTCTGGTGCTGGACATGCTGTCCGTGATGGTGGGGTGGGAGGCGATACTGAGGCAGAGCTATGCACAACCACTGTGGTCGATACCATCACCTCTCTTGATAGAGCCCTCAGTGACGATAGTTGGCATGGTGGATGCCAGCATAGGCGTCGCACTCCTGAGACACCGACATGCAAGTTGGCGAACAAGCCCATAGCAAGTATCACTTGGATAACAAGTCACGTCTAAGATGAGGTACATGGATCCGGCCGAGTCGCCTCGCATGAGAAGCCATGAGGTGGACACAGCTCAGTCTCCCAGCCATGATGGCCAACTGCACAGGAGTGAGCGAGCCTGTACAAATGGCGCTGCCTGAAGAAGTACCATCAGCCTCATCATCAACAGCTACTGCACTACTCATCTCAGAGTGCTGCTCCGAAGCTCCAGTAGCTGTACACTCCTCTGCTGGGTTCTCGAAAGGGTTCACACCAGCCTCCATAAAGATACGACACAGTCTACTGCAACCAGCCCAAGCCGCCTGTCCAAAGAGGATGAGCTTCTTCTGAGTTGAACACTCCTTCAATAACCGGCGTATATAACCCTCGCTGAGAGGCCCCACACCGAGCTCATCAGCAATGATGCTCCACGGTAGGACCTACGGGTGATCACAACATAGTGATGCATAGAAAGGTGCTCACCAGAGGCGGACCGTCCCGCACCACGCGACGGTTAAGCCGCGCTGACGTCTCCACAATACGGAGGACGTCCCGATCAAAAGCTATAGAGAGCAAGCGTTTGAGGCCACGACAGGATCCTGCGGGACGGTCAGAAGAGCGTGGGCGCAGTGACTGTCGGAGCACGCTGGTCACTTGGGGGTACCTACGTTATAACAGTGAACGGGAGTAAGGCGGCGACCACCACCAACACACCCGAAGCAGATGTCTCTCTTCTGAGACTGCAGCTCAGATGCAGGAGTTTCGCGGTACTTATCAATAGCCACGACAAGGCGTCTATAGATGTCCCCTCCAGCACGCATTGGGGACCTCACCACTTCCAGACCTTCCACACACAGCGATGACGTGACCATAGATACTTCTCACTACCATAAACTCCCCGGGCGAGCTGATCCTGTGCTTGGTCGAGGGACTGTACATGTGCCTCCACAAGCTGCTTCACTCTGAGGAGTCCTTGGTCCTCTAGTGTGACTGGAGAAGCACAATGTGCTAGCTGTGGAAGCGGCGTTGCTCTCAGATTAGGCTTGTAATAGGTAATATCAGCATCGGCTTTGCATTGAGCATAGCGCACAGCACCATAGCATTGGGACAGAACGACTGCACAGGAGTAAACGTCCATGGCCTGAGACACGAGAGAGGTGACGGTACACCCACAAGGGTGCCTCTACCATTTCAGTGGTTGGCTGAGCCCGCGAATGTGCGAGGGACTTATCATTGTTGGCAGTAGCGGGGGGATCACTTGATGGCTCAGTTGGTAGTGCATGTCCAGAGGCAACAGCCCCTACTGTCACTATTCCAAAGCTAGACTGTTGCGCCCATCTCTGGATCTGCAAAGGGCCGTGATAGTGAACTGCAGTAGTAGGATGCTGATGACGCTACTTGTTCGGGTGCAACCCACCCCACAACTTTGAGTAGAGATGACCAGTCAGGTATAGGACCACCTCTCCCTTCTTCTTGGCTATCATCAGCTTTACTCTCTGACAGGCCTTTATTTTTCTCGTCCTCTCTAGGAGTTTTCCCTGACCACGACTATCATCACTAATCGTCACCATTTCGCCCATCACCAGAGTGTTCTGTTGTCGGTGTAGCCTCTATTGTCGCAGCGGCCCAATCCATCAACGCTACCAGCCTGTGGTAGTGGTGATGGGACTGCTCACTCTCTTCGTCCGTAGATGTCTCTCCATACACGCTGGCCTCATGGTACTCCATCACGACTATACTACTAGGGTTGATGTTGCGGTGTACTACTCCCACCTCATGGGCCGCTTCCACCTGCTCGGCCGTGGCAGCGGCATCACGCAAGTCGCTAGTACTTACAGCAGCTAGGAGAGCCTTCATAACACTCTGAGCTTCACCCAGAGTATAAGGCGGGCGCCGGCCCTCTATAATATCCTACAACTAGGACTTCTGTCATCACCTCGTATGGTCCTAGCTACGACCTGTAGTTCCTGTTCAAGTGTGATGCCCTCGAACATATCCATCACAGAGTAGCGCAGACCAGATCCTGTGCTACCACAGTGAATCCATCGGGGGAAAGGAGGAGGAGGAGGAGGCGAAGGTGCCGGAGCATCCCCAGTATCCACCTTCCCACCACGGCTGTCTCGAGCAATAAGCTTCTCACCTATTAGGGAAGGCCTTCTAAGATGGCTGCTGTACTGTGTGCTCATCACTGAGGTATTTATGAACTGCACATTCGTTCATTATCATCGACGTTTCTCCATCAGTCTGTGGCCGATAGAACAGCTTCACGGCCACCAGACGGGAGTAGGAGTCATCGCGTAGTCGGCAGCAATCGTCCACAACAGTGTGAGAGTTTATATGGCTAGCACTAGACAAAAGCGACTGAGACGCGAGCGTGTTGGGAGACCCTCTTGGATGGAAGCGGAGAGGACCTTAGCATCCAAAAGCCTCTTGTCCTGCTCCGACCCTCGTCCGGACGGCATGGCCATCTGTATGGGAGACTTCTCAGACCCTTTCCTACACGTGTTATGAGGGCGCTGGCCTCCTCCTCCACTGCTAGCCCTGTCCGATGCCTCTTCCTGTCGGCACTTGAATATGACCGATCTAGTCCCAGACCATAAGACGTCAATGATGGTGTAAACCCTCCCTATCCTCAGCCCTCGTACGCCGGGACCACCTCCCTCGTATCCATCAAGAAGAATAGAGGCATCCCCTGAGAATTGAGGGCATCATCATTGCCATCATGTATTGCCAACTACGCCCAGACTCTAGGAAGGCCTCGATAGCCTTATCTAGTACGCTCTCAACGTCTCGTAGTGCTGTTGGTAGTAGACGATAGTCTCGTAAGAAGTGATGTACCTCAGAGGTGGCAGTACTCAACAACAGTGACAATACCCTTACCTCGCTTTGAACTACGGTCTGGTCTAAGTCTACCACAGTGATGCACAGCAAAGCCCGGACGGCAGCGTCCTGTACCATCTCCCAGACAACTTCACTAATTACATCATCCAATGCCTGGTGGTAATACACCATCAATTGACAGATATAGAGAGAGGCTGAATACATCGGAAATGCCAGCAGCTCGGTCAGCGATCGTTCCATGCCTCTCCGGCCTCGGGATTAGCCCCATGCCTTTACGCGTTGTAGTCGATAGTACCGCGACTGCGAGCTGACCAGGGGTGGCAATAGCAACATCAGACTAATGGCAATACTTTGAGCGAGTTGTTAATCTTAGCAGCGAAGTGTGGAGTACTGCGGAGCATAGCACCCATATTCTTCGACAGAAGATGCTGGCAGTAGGCAAGGCCTCGTATGAGAGGCTCTCTGTTGAGTAGTATAAGTCTAGTACGCCATCTGGGAGTAGCCTTTTCGGCAATATGCACAGGGTGTAACCATCACTACCTAGACTCCAGAGCATGATCGATAGTTCTGAGATCAGTGATGCACCGTGCTACAGCTGCTGGTGGAGATGAAAAGAGCTTAGCCAGAGTCCACAGGACCTGATGACGATAGTAGTTGCAATTGGCCGACCGATTCAGCAGATCGAACATTGAGGCTTTCCGTCCTCTTGGTGTCATTGTAAAGATGCTGGTAGTAGTTATACACCTCTCTCGACCACATCCTCTTGGCCGTCTTATAGAAATCTTGTTTGTTACCACCGGCATATTTAAGTATATCAGAATTGAGTGATTCTTTATACGGGTCGAGGGGCTTCGTGAGGAGGCCTTCATCGCTCTCTACTTGCCATAACACCGATGCTTCTATTATCCTCCCTTGTGGTAAGGACACAGCTACATCCAGCTTCACCTCCCCCCGACTGGACCGAACGGCATCTTCCAGAGTCATACTCAGGCCGTCACTGTTACTGACGACCTACAACAACATCCCCTATCAGAAAGAGTAGTCATCAGTGATCACCTTTCGACCAGCTATGATCTCCTTAGGTGACCACCGAAGCTTTGGGAAGCTGTGAACCCACTGACGGAAGAACTCATATTCAGTCATGGCCCTGTCCCTTTGAGCCGCTCCTCCTGAAGATACCCTCGAGGTGAGCCTGGACGGCGACTGGGCCTCTCCGATGGATAGTATCCAATGCTTGTAGGTTGTACTCCACTGAGCTTCTACTGAGTGACGAGAGTCCAGGCAAGGAGCCTTACGGAGGACATGCTCGTTGAGGAGTCCTTCAGCCAATAGTCTCGATAACTGAGGCCGTTGAAAGTGGCAAGCCGCATTTCATCATATTCCTACTTGTCGATACACGCGTGGTCCGTCATAGTCCACGAGCTTCCTGCCAGCATAGTCCCATTTACCAAGACCAGTTATAGATGTCAGAGATGCGTTCGGATGGAGGCCACACTTGAGTTCGAGGAAGTACACCCCTCGTACGAGTGAGTCACTTGAATGGGCCGACTCTGACGTAGCGGTGGTTGCCTGGAGATTCAGTACGTTAATGATAACGCGCTGGAGATGTTTGGTGAATATCCTTGCAGTGACCTCACTAGGCGAGTCTAGATACACCTGAGTGACCTAGGCTGATTGTGTAGATGATGATGTGATGAACTGACCTTCTCGAACACGTCAATGTCTCCCCAGTACTTGAATGCCAGGTACCTGTAGCTACCCACAGGGGCGGGCATTTCCTGGCCGATGGTGATGAGCTCTACGACTTCCTTCAAGGCTGGGGAGTATCTTCAGCTCGAGTGTGCTTCCTGTGGTCTAGATTGGTACAGTACGATCTAGCATCTAGTGGGTGACTAAGCCTGGAGTCGGCTCTGAGTCCAGTATCTTCCTCCTTAATGCTCTCAACAAACATGCGACTGGCCATGCTAGTCTACAGCATCAATGGTATGGGTCAGCTCAGGGGCATCTGCGAACTACCCTCTTCATCTGGGCGAACGCATCACGACTCGCTAGAGACGCCAGCTCCTCCTGTTTGCTGTTTTCGCTCCTTCCACTGAGAGGCTGCTGTGCTTGGGGGTCGCAAGGTGCACTACCACCACAGCCACCGGACTGAGAACACTCAAAGGGGGGCATTCGGGCAACTGTCAATAGGAGCCACTTGACAAACGTTGCAACATTGAGGAGCCGCTTCGTAAGATCCTTATATGAGGAGCGTAAAGCTGATCGGCTGAAAAGCTCCTGGCTCGCGAGGCCATAACGGAGAATTGCGCTCCCCAGGGATCGAACCTCCGACTGTCATCACGATGCATTAACCGCAACGGTAAATCGTCGAAGTCCTCGGGAAAGGTTCTTGGTTGTAGCACGTGCCACATCGCTCGGCCTTTTTCGGTTGCTAGTGGGAAATCCTTACGCTCCTTGAAAGGCTCTAAAGACTTGCTTCTTACAAAGAGAACGGTAAGGGTTTCTTCCTTTTAAGGTTCGCCTTGAGGAGCACATCCTCCTAAGCTAGAGGGCCTTCATATTCGGATGTAAGCATCTATGCGCGGGGAGAGTCTGAATCATACCGTATAATGCCTATGCTCAGTGCCTTGTCGATCCATTGTTTCCACCTCCGCAAAGGAACTGTAGTGTTCAGAGTGGCCATGGGGTTAGTGGGGCCTTTGATGGCCCATACAGTCTGCCATGTGGAACATGCACGTATTGTCGGTCGAGGTGACGTGTTCACATATAGTTCCGACTCAACGCTTATATTAATCATGGCGGAGCCTCCCGTCGTGTATGCTGATGACTGTGAGCTGCCGGCCTTCCGTCACGGTCCTGGCCTTATCAATGTCAAGTCTTGGGCTGCAGCCCCTCGGCACCGGCAGGTCTACGCGGTGGATAGTAGTGGGGGTTTCTTCTGTGTTGATCCCTCCAGGTTGGCTAAGGCTCTACAGCCTGGGCCTTCTGATGATGATCTCCTCGAGCTCGACTCTCGAGTACCAGCGGAGATCCGTCTGCTGGAGGGAGGGCATGTAGTGGCTTTGGCCGTCAACCCTCGGCAAACGCGGCTAGCCGTGGCAGCGGGCGGTGGGAGTCTCTCTATCTTCAACCTCCCCCTCGTGGCGGCTGCAGAGCCGTCACCTGTGGACTTGAAGATAGGCTCTGAATTAGCCAGTATGGCATGGGGCGATGAGGATACTCTGTTGGTGGCGGCTTATCAGACTGTATTAAGCTGTAGGATTGTAGGAGGGAAAGTCTCTGTAGTGGGTAAGGTGACTGATCTTTTATCGGCCACTGCTGCTTGTCCTATTGCTCCTACCACTGTGGCTATAGCTGACACTTTAGGGGAGCCTGAGAGGGTTCGTCTATGGGATACTAGGACCAATTCGGTCACGTCTTCGGTGATCGAGGGGCTCAGTGAGGTCTTCAGTGGTGATGAGATGCTCTCCGACTCTCCTCCATGGGTGGTTCATTGCGTTTGTAGTCTCCGTGGAAGGCAGTTCGCAGCAGTAATTGGTCCCGCTGCTGGTGCCCAAGGGATAGGCTATAGTGCAGTTGCTATTGTGGAAGCTCAGGATGATGGGCGGCGCTTGGTGACGAAGACAGTGGTCATGGACCCGTACTTTGTTGAGTCTGAATGTGTCCCAGACCGACCGGCTGGGTGGACCTACTTCTTACCATCCAGAGGTCTCCTTTTCTGTGGGCATGCGTGCTCTGGTCAAGTAGCTGTACTCGAGGAGCCCCACGATGGAGAGGACGAGTGGGCCTGTTGGGTAGGCCCCGAGGGGCGGCAGCTAGGATGTGCCGTACAAGCTGAGACCAACCTCTGTCTAGGAGGTCCCCCAATAGTTGTGGAAATGGACAGGCCTGTATCTCTTCCAGTGACGGAAGGGGCTGTGGACCAAGTGGAGGTGTACCGTATGGTCCTCTTACCGCATTCGGACGGGAAGACTAGTAGTGTGCACTACATGGAAGACAGACCCGGAGTGGACATACCACAACTCGATCGAGACCACGGCGAGGCGCCACTGCATCTGGAGTTCGGCGAAGTCGGTGCAGAGGCTGGATCAGAACCGACTCTGAATGGGGCAACAGGCGTTAAGGCAGAGACTACAGCAAACCACGACTCGGACGCCGCGGTCAGTCCGGAGAAGGAGACGCGTTCGCCCTTTGGAGTGTTTGGTGATGGTGGTAAGACCACGACTGGTTTTGGTGCCTTCTCTTCTCCGTCACCCTTTGGGGCCGGGCTTGGATCCTCGAGTAGTGGAGGCTTCGGTGCTTTCGGTACATCTGCTTCTTCTAGTCCATTCGGGACTGGCTCGGCCGTTGAAGGAGCTTCGACGTTCGGAGGGGCGCTCACGTCCAATGCAGTACAGTCGGGTTCGTTTACAGGGTTCGGCGCGTTCAGCACTCCGGTTAAAACTACGGGTCCATTCAGTGCTAAGGGCAGTGGTGATAAAGCGGGCACGGGGAGCATCTTCAAGGACATTGCGAAGACAGCAGATGTGACTGTATCGGGCAGTAGTAGTGGGAAGGAGAAAGTGGATAAGAAGGAGAAGTCGCCACAGCAGGCGCTGAGTGGGAGTAGATCACCTAACGACACGTCAGGTGTTGAAGCCGAGAGCCCAGGGCCACGGGGCTCCGACTCGGTGGCGGTTAGTCCTGTGAAGGGGACTGCATCGCCCTTTGGGGTGTTTGGTGGTGGTAAGGCTACGACCGGATTTGGTTCCTTCTCTTCATCTTCTGGGACCGGGTTTGGTGGCGGCTTCGGTGCGTTCGACACGCCTGCTTCCTCTAGTCCGTTTGGAACTGGTTCGGTGGGCCAAGGGTTCTCGGCCTTTGGAGGGACGGTCACTTCCAATGCAGTACAGTCGGGTTCGTCTGCAGGGTTTGGCGCATTCAGCACTCCGGTTAAAACTACGGGTCCATTCAGTGCTAAGGGCAGTGGTGATACAGCGGGCACGGGGAGCATCTTCAAGGACATCGCGAAGGCACCAGATGTGAATATATCGGACAGTAGTAGTGGAAAGGAGGAAGAGCATGAAAGGAAGAAGGGGAAGTCACCGCAGCGGACGCTGAGTGGAAGTGTATCACCACGCAGGAAAAGTAGTAGTGGTGGCGGTCTCAAGTTGGGCCTGTCCCCGAGGAAGGTTGAGAAGGCAGCGTCGAGCCAAGAGACGGTCGATCGTAGTGACGATGAAGGTGAATATCCCTTGGGTAGAGCTAGGCTTGTTCTGATGATGCATTTAGATATCCAAGACAACTTTGCCGCGGGTTTGGCACAGGCATTAGGCGATTTCAGCCTGGGGAAAGCCGATGTTGGGGATGCCAGAAGTAGTAGTATAGGGATTACTGACTCCTGGTTCATGCCCTCAGCGTGGTGTGTTGTAGGGGAGGAGAAGGTAGTGGAAATTGCTACTAAGACAGGCGTTGTTGAAGAAGAGAAGGATGATGCAATAACGACAGAGGAGGCTGGCCAACATGAAGGTGGTGGTTATCCCTAACTCCTCCTCCTACAGGCTTGGTAATATCGTCTTAGATGCCTCAACACCTAAGCTTAGCAGTCCTACTCACAAAACAGAAGAGGATACGCATGAGGATACTGATGGTAGTAGTGGGGCGTGGGGTGCGGCGGTATTGTTTGAGGAGGACGAGAAGGCGGCGATCATACTGATCTGAAATTTGGGATGGAATCTATACATGTCTGTGAGGACATCACGTTAGGCTATCGGTTGAATCAGAAAATCCTTTGACGACTGGTTTGTCGGGCGTGGACTTGATATCTTCATCGCTTCGCTTTTAGAAAAACCCGAAGACGGCGAAGTTGCCTCTACGACGGTTGTGAGTTCGCCGTTGAGGTCGGGGTTGGTCCGGGAGGAGAAGACCCCCCAATCTGGTGGGAGTATATTCGATGCTATTCCTAAGGCGACTCCGTTGGTACTGAGTGATAGCAGTAGTAGTGAGAGTAGTGATGACGACGATGAGCCATCTGACTCTGAGGGGGAGGGTATGAGGAAGGAGTCCAAGGCACGAGAGGCTATCAGGGCCAAGCTTGCTGCTAGGAAGGCGGCTGGTGGTTTGAAGAAGGAAAGTAGAGGAGAGGCAGGGGTGAAAAAAGGCAAGCCTTGGGTGAAGTTAGCGATAGGAGAGGAGGAAGGAGAGGGTGTAGTAGATGGAGGGAAGTATGAGGGGAATGCATGGGAGGGAGAGGTGAGAGATGAGGAAGAGGTAGACGAGGAGGAGGAGGAAGGAGAGGAAGTGGAGGTAGAGGACGAGGAGGTAGAGAAAGAGGAGGAGGAGGAAGAGGAAGAGGAGGAGGAAGAGGAAGAGGAAGAGGAAGAGGAAGAGGAAGAGGAAGAGGAAGAGGAAGAGGAAGAGGAAGAGGAAGAGGAAGAGGAAGAGGAAGAGGAAGAGGAAGAGGAAGAGGAAGAGGAAGAGGAAGAGGAAGAGGAAGAGGAGGAGGAAGAGGAAGAGGAGGAGGAAGGGGAAGAGGAGGAGGTAGAGGAGGAGGAGGAAGGGGAAGAGGAGGAAGAGGAAGCGGAGGAAGAGGAGGTGGTAGAGCAGAAAGAAGAACAGGAAGAAGAAAAGGAAGGAGGAAAGAGCGGACGTAATGCTTACCTCGCTGTCTAATCTGTATATTAGAGTTTTCGTTTTCGAAAAATGAGTGATCCGCGCGAAGTGTTTCTCCCGCAAGATTCCCATATTGTAGAGAGTGTAAGCTTGGACTGTGTCGTATATAACATAACCATCAAAGTGAACAACCAAGCCGTAGCCTATACTGCTTTCAACCCCGAGAGGCGGTAGTCATCTCCTGTACAGTAGGATGTAAGATAACTGCCGTCCGACTCCGAACCCGATGGGAGGCGACTCAGCCGCCGCCTCAAATTCACAACTGCCGATTCAGCCATGTCAGACTGTATCAGCTCTCCCAACAACAAGGTGAAGCACGCTGTGTCACCTTGAATGCCTACACTAGCGCGGAGGGTTCTGTGCGTGGTAATTCCGCTTCCATCATTCTTCCTGTGTAAGGTTGCCACTAAGGTCACTGGGTTAGAAGGCTCTGCAATGGAAGCCTTGTGCCAGTCATAATTGGTGCGAAACTCTCCAGCCACAACGAGTTCCGCACGGGATGCGGAATCTTCAATGCCTTTGGTCCAACACGAAAAGTCGAAATTCTATGTAGTCATCAACATCAAAATCAGCAGCAGCAGCTCCTTCTGCGCCTCCAGAGTACACGTGAATTCCCATCCATGACCTTTATGCTGGCTTGGGACCTTTCACTGGGTTGAGGAGTGCTTGAAGGGCGGCTTTTATGGCAATAACGACTCAGTGGCTTGTAATTCGCAATTGTCTCTTGTTGTGTAGAGGCCGTGAGCGTTGTTCGCTTTCGTGGCTGCAGGCGTACTTATGCGACATGGGTCGCATGCGCTGTGGTTTCCCATGTCACGGCTGAAACTTGATTGTAACATTCAGGTGGTCTGTTTGGGTCTGCCGCCTCTTCCTCATCTTCCTCTAGCGGCTTTGGAGGCTTCGGTGGTGGTGGTGGAGCAGCAGCCCAGTCATCGTCCTCCTCTTCGGCTAGTCCATTTGGAGCCCCACCGGGAGCCTTCGGGTCCAAACCCCCTGTATCGAGTGAGTCCCCGGCCTCTACACCACCTGTCTACTCTCTACCCGCAGGTCCTTTCGGAGCTCAGTCCAGCAGTGGAGGTTTCGGGGCATTCGGGTCTTCACAGAGTAGCAGCAGCAGCAGTACCCCCTTCGGAGGCGCCTCCACAGCCTCGTCTGGTGGCGGCTTTGGTGCTTTTGGAGGGAAGTCGTCAACCCCAAGTAGCTTCCCCTCCCCCTTGGCCGCCCCCAACCTTCACCCCTCAGGTCCCTTCGGCTCGGCAGCCACTACTGGCGGTGGCTTTGGGGCATTTGGGAGTGGAGAGGCTTCGTCCAGTAGCGGCTTCGGCGCCTTCGGTTCGACGTCCTCGTCCTCGGCTGCCCAGACAAGCTTCAACGCTTTTGGTGGAGGAGCCCAGAAGGGCGGACCCTTTGGTGAGCTTCTCCCAACTCCTCCTCTACAACCACTCCAATTGACTTTAGGTTCGGCACCTTCCACAGGCGGCGGCTTCGGAGCATTCGGTTCCACATCGCAATCCAGCAGCAGCAGCGGGTTCGGCGGCTTTGGTGGTGCTCAGTCGGCCTCGGGCTTTGGTACATTCGGAGGTGGGACCACAATGCTCCCGTCCGAATTGCATTACTCCTCTTCCCTTCACAGGCACGTCCTCCGCGGCCTCGGGCAGCGGTGGCTTCGGTGGCGAGCAAATCTCATCTGGCTTCGGATCGCTTGGGAGCTCACAGCTCCAAAAAAATGAGAAAAAGACAGAGGCCATCCCGTTCGCCAAGAAAGCGGATGGCGAGGCTGTAGTGAAGACTGAGAAGGACGATGGCTCTGAGGCGAGGGGGAGGCCTACTCCTCCACAGGAGAGCGATTCCAAGGAAAATACCAAAGGTGATCATTGGCCGAGGCCTCGTAAGGTTAGCACTGACAACTCTCGTGAGGTGTAGGGCAGACTCCCTCGGTGGAAACTAGCGACTTAGTGGCTAGTTACTCCACCGTTATTCATGACGGTCTACTGCAAATTTTTTGAACCTGAGCGGCGTAGAGTGTAGAGGAGCTTTGAAGATAGGCATAGCCATTCGTACTTTCAGAGTTGCGTTCGGCAATGGTCCCGTCTGGTGTTCCTGCTGTGAGCGCTGGTCGAAGAGGTTCCAGAGCATCTGTTGCCTCTGAGGTGAGGGCTATTTGGTTTTGATGGAATATTATCGATAGTTTGTGGCTGTAGGTGGCCCCATCTGGGCCCAAGCAGACGTCTACTGAGGACCTTCACAAGAAAACGGCGGAGTTGCTCGAGGAGATTGCCAAGGATGCGGACGATGGGGAGGACTCCAGAGAGGCTAGAGCCCTGTTTTCGGAGGTGGAGAAGGATTTGGAGCAGCTGGAGGCTTTTATGAAGGAGGCCAGGAAGGCACCTTGTCATGCGGCGCCCGAGGCCGACCTCAGCAACGAGGTTTGGGTTCAACTGAGGAAGAGTGTGGAGAGCCTTACTGGAGTCGCCAATGAAGACACTCTCAAACAACTGGACGAGGTGGGTTGGTGGTAGCCCTCGGTGTTAGGGAGGTCATGGGCCTCTGTCAGATCCAGAAGAAGAACTGCAAGTTGAATGCACAGCTGAGTGAAGAGATGGTATCGAGAGGAGAGGGGAGCAGTGAGGTGGTCATGGAGCTGAGGGAACGCTGCGAGGGTATCAGCACTCGGATAGATGAGGCTTATGGTGAATGCAAGAAGGTGGTAGTTGGGGAGGAGGGAGGGAGTCGATGATGGGTTGTGGTGGTCAGGCCTTATTTATGCGACGTGGGAGGAGATCATCTGGTGGAGCTAATACTCCTCCTCCCTCACCTGAGCTCCCTCCAGCCCCGCGTCTATCGATGCGCCCGCGACCGTCGGTGATAGTAGACGGCCCGACCATGCCGACAGCGCTGCTGGCCCCACCTGCTGCTCGTCGTCGTCGCCATCAGCAGCAGCAGCAGCAGGGACAGAGGGACGGTGGATCGGCCCTTGGCAAGCTAGCTCACGCCTCCCCACAACAGGCCGGCAACAGGTTGCCGAGGCCCCTGCCTCCTGTACGTGTGCAACCGCCGGAGGGGAACGTGGATTCTCTTCGGGCTAGTGTACGGCGCTTGAGGAATCCTCTTACGCGAAGGGCGCCGACTCAAGCCAGCACTACTAGTGGCTCCTCCTCGACTGTTGAGGCTCTACTCACTGGAAAGTCCACTGGGAGGAAGGTGCCTGCTCCAGCGCTCGCCCTGAGGAAAGAGGGGGAAGATGGAGGGAATAGTGGCAACATTTGGAGCCTCATGCGGACCAAGGCCCACGTGTCGGTAGAGATACAAAGCCTTTGGGAGAAGGTGAGTGTTGGGGAGTCTTTGTTTGGTGCTCGTCGTCGTCGTATGGGGGGTAGTAGGTGTCGGACATGGAAAGAAGGCTCCGAGAGGTGAAGTTGGAGAAGGGTGTCAAGTGTCATAGCCAGCGCCAGGGGCCAGCACTACCTGCTCCTATGGCGGCCCTTGCGGACGAACAACCCCCCAAGGAGTCTCCCGAAAACGACAAAGTGGCGGTGAGTGAACACCTCGGTGTAGCACCATCACAGCTCCATCCTCTGGCTCTCAGAGCGTCCGTAATGAGCTTCGGCAGCAGCTGGACAGTTCACAGGCGGGGTCCATTGGACGGGCCCCTAGTAGTGGTTCTTGGTCGGAGTCCTCTGATTATGCCGCTGCTAGCAGTATAGCTGGCAACTACTCTACACCTTCGGTCACTAATGTGCCTCCTCCTGGTGGGCTCATGTTCGTGAACCCATTGGGAGGCTCGGGTACCCCTACCTTCGGTGGAGGCAGAGCTTCCCCAGCGGCATCGATCAGCCGGTCTCCATCGAGGACGCCGAAGGATGTGGTGAAGTCGATGAATGCAGCCCGGGAGGCGATGATCCCTAAGGCTGTAATGCATTCTCAACGCAATTTGTGGCGCGTGACGGATTTCGAGTGCGCTGCCTTAGGTGGTGCCACCAGCGCCGAAGTTAGAGACAATACCGTCAGTACCGCCTCCTCCCAAGCTGAATCCGAGTCCTACTAGAGGTGAGTGGAGACATGCCCGTACTCCTTGAGTCGACGGTTGCTTCTGATAGCTCCGAAGCATCGAACACTGAGTAGCAGCATGAGCTTTGGTCTGTCGAAGGAAGGTGGTGGACAGGAGCAACAGAGGACGATGACGACGACGACGCCCGATGTAGGAGGGTCGAGACCAGGTGTATGGTGGACCATGGTGTGTTGTGTCAGAGTGCCCCCTCGAAGACGGAGGAGAAGCCCTTCGGTGGCTCGTTGACAGTAACACCGGGCCAGCCGAAGAAAACTTCAGGTGGGGGGTAATGAACGCGAGTAGTAGTGAATTGGTCCCTTTAGAGAAGAAGCAGTTTGAGGAGAAGACCCCGACTGCTGCACCCAAGGCGGCCCACCCAGAGGCTACTACTGCGAAGGTATTGGCCGACATGACCAGGGTTCAATTATTCATTCTCTTAGAGCCCTGCTAAACCCTCGCCTCCCTCGATTGCGGCATCATCGACTAGCACCTCTGGTGAGCCCTGTGTTGGCTTACTCTAACGTAGCTTTCCTCTCACCAGGTGGCCTCTTTGGTGCGGCCACGTCCAGCTCGGGCAGTAGCAGCCTATTCGGGAGCATACAGAAGGGACAGTCTAGTTCGTCCAGTGGCGTGTTCGGGTCGAAGTCCTCTACCTCCAAACCCGCTGCTACAGGTGGGGTCCAATCACACGCCGAATTCTCCCACGTCGTTCTCAGGCGGGGCCTTTGGAAGTGCTCCTTCTAGTAGTGGTCTCTTCGGTGGTAGCAGCAGTAGTAGTGGCGTACAGCCTAGCAGCAGCTCTAGTGCTGGTCCGTTTGGATCGTCAACGAGTAGTTCTTCCAGTGCGGCCGCCGCCAAACCCGGTATGTACCTTGAGCCGATTCCTGGTTGCTTTACTATCGAGTGTGACGTTCAGGTGGTCTGTTCGGGTCTGCCGCCCCTTCCTCATCTTCTTCTAGCGGCTTTGGAGGCTTCGGTGGTGGTGGTGGAGCAGCAGCAGCCCAGTCATCGTCCTCCTCTTCGGCTAGTCCATTTGGAGCCCCACCGGGGGCCTTCGGGTCCAAACCCCCTGCATCGAGTGAGTCCCCGGCCTCTACACCACCTGTCTACTCTCCATCTTCAGGTCCTTTCGGGGCTCAGTCCAGCAGTGGAGGTTTCGGTGGATTCGGGTCTTCACAGAGTAGCAGCAGCAGCAGCAGTAGCCCCTTCGGAGGCGCCTCCACATCCTCCTCTGGTGGCGGCTTTGGTGCTTTTGGAGGGAAGTCGTCAACCCCAAGTAGCTTCCCCTCCCCCGTGGCCGCCTCCAACCTTCACCCCTCAGGTCCCTTCGGCTCGGCAGCCACTACTGGCGGTGGCTTTGGGGCATTTGGGAGTGGAGGGGCTTCGTCCAGTAGCGGCTTCGGCGCCTTCGGTTCGACGTCCTCCTCCTCGGCTGCCCAGACAAGCTTCGGCGCTTTTGGTGGTGGAGCCCAGAAGGGCGGACCCTTTGGTGAGCTTCTCCCAACTCCTCCTCTACAACCACTCCAATTGACTTCAGGTTCGACACCTTCCACAGGCGGCGGTTTCGGCGCATTCGGTTCCACATCGCAATCCAGCAGCAGTAGCGGGTTCGGCGGCTTTGGTGGTGCTCAGTCAGCCTCGGGCTTTGGTGCGTTCGGAGGTGGGACCACAATGCTCCCGTCTGAAGTGTCATTACGCCCACTCCCCCCACAGGTACATCCTCCCCGGCCTCGGGCAGCGGCGGCTTCGGTGCATTCGGCAGCGGGTCCAATGCACAGAGTGGTGGTGGCGGGTTCGGTGCCTTCGGTGGTGGGCAAACCTCATCTGGCTTTGGGGCGTTCGGTGGTGCTCCTGCTGGCGGTGGCGGAAGCTCTCAGCCTCAGAATGCCTTCAGTGGATGGCGATAGTTGCTCACTCCCATCCGACCGATCGTTGCAACGTTTCTATGTCAACTCCTCATATTGTTGTTGTTGTCGTCACTGTTACATTGAGACCAGTACTGGCGGTGGTGGCAGTACCAAGGATGCCCAACCCCTCATTCCCTGTCGCCTACCGCCAATCAGACCTCTCCTCCTCCTCCTCCTCCTCTTCCCCTAGCATTGAGGACTCCTCGGTAGCGGCGCCTCCCCTCATAGAGATCAACATCGTGGTCATCAACTTGCTCCATCGTGTGCACCGTAGGAGGAAGATGGTCAACACTCTGGGCTTGCTGCACGATGCTGGCCTTAAGGAGGGCTTTCGGGTCCGCTCCCACATACTGGAAGCTATCGATGGGTACTCCAGTCGCTGGCTCAATAACACTTCACACTTGCCCTCAGGGTCTCACAGTCCCTGGTTGAATTAAATGCACGTTACGGCGTACGGCCGTACCCCGAGTGGAAGATTCCTCCAACATCGGCACAGCACATGAGGGTTCCACCCTCTTGGAAAGACTTCCTCGTGAGCTCTCGCTACCGCTATCGTATCGCTGTGGAGCTGGGGTTTGTTCAGACATCAGGAGGGATAGCATCAACCTTGTCCCATCTAGACGTGGCAGTACTGGTCCATGCTAGGGCTTGGACTACTCCAACCATCGTGGCTGAGGATGATTTCGAGCTTGTCTGCACCCCGGCTGAGTTCTGGGCACATATCAACCTCCTCTTGGGCGACGCTGATACTGAGTAAGAAGATTGTAGTAGAAGCTGCGTGTCGTTATGGATGCACTACAGGTCCCAACAGAGCGGTGTCCCATGGGATATGATCATGCTCGGTTCGGGACGACATCGAGAGGATGTCTGTCCCCCCCGACCTATCCCATCTTCAAACGGCCGACTAGATGTCGCTGGTTTTAGCTATCTCACCACAATGTGGGCTCGTGGGTCGCGTGGGTGGAAGCTTCATCTCTCAGGTACCTACTGTCCCCATGCGGAGCCGGGAAGCTGTCTCAGGCACGGCCCCGCATTTTGCATGATTGTGTAGTATTCGACGACCTGCATAATATCCTCGCCGGACTATGTGCCGCAACACGACCCCATCTGCACCAGATCTACGAAGACGTCCGATTGGTCTTGTTGGATTCGGTCCGAAAGCTCGTCTGCCAGGATCGCAGTGATTGTGGGCACGACACTGAAGTCAACGCTGGGCCCCGGAATAGAAGGGGCAGCCCTGACCTCTGCCTCCTCCCCCCGAAGGCACCGGAGCTACTACGGTATTTTCGGATCATGTTGAAGGGGACCGGTCACTGCGTCCGATGGCGGCGACGGACAGAAGTCGTTGGAAAGATTGAGGACGAGCTTTGGGGGACCACATTGGAGTTTGCGAGAGCTGGTATTCCTCCAACCCAAAGAGCGAACGTAATCAGTTTCGACACTTTCTTCATCCGTCTCCATTTAGAACGTTATAGAAGATGTCATAATTCCGTGTGCACTCCAGTGTTTTGTGTTGTGAAGTTGGGAAGATAGCAATTCCAATGAGTCGAATACGTCCCATAGATTTGTAAAGTGACGATGTTGTGGTATGGCTTTGTCAACACAACATTATTAACACACAAAGAAAGCATCATTTCATGCATGCCACAACATTTCACGCTTGGATTCAACACTTCATTCATGGAAGAGGCTGTCCGATCATGGTTGGAGGGGCCCCTCTCCCTCCCAAGGCGTCGACCACTGACATCCGACATGTAGGGCAGCTCATGTTGGCAGGGTCGTACAAGCGGGTCTGCAGCTCAGCCCCGTCTGTGAAGCGGCTCCTGATTCTCTGTGGCCGCAACAGCCACGTTCTGATGCAGTCATTGTGGAAAACATGACCACACCAGAGGGTCCTTCGAGTGACGCCCGCCTCGATACTGTCGATGCAAACGTTGCAAGTCTTGGTACTGTCTTCATCTGCTGAGACCGTCTGAGTAGTGGTGAGTCGGTCTATTAGCCGCCGCGCCTCCGCTCGAGGGACGAGTTTAGGGACGCGTCGGACATGGTCTGGTATCGCGTCATTCTGTCTGTGGTACCGTCGATAGAGCTTGAGAGCCAAATAGACGGCGAGTATGATGGTGACTGGTATGACCACCGGTAGCAGCAATATTAAGGTCAATGCCAGACCAGATAGCTCCAGCTCGATGGGAAACTCATCAGTCATGTTCCCACCGTGGGGACGACTGTGGCTGAGATCTCTCACTAATGGTAATGCAGTGCTCATGTAAAGCGAACCAAGGCCTGCTGCATAGAAATCATAACACAGCTCTGGTGGTGCCACATACCGTACGCCGTGTAACCACTGAATACAGCTCTCACTGTCGATTTCCTCCAAAGCGGAGTTACACATTTCATGACAGAAACCACAAGTGTCCCCGCCTTGCTCAACACAGCCTCTGCATGGGCGACTGTTCCTCTCGCAGTCTAACGAAGGTCCTCCCGGACTTCCGTTATGACTACCCAGTTGGCATGTTAGTCTATATGGACACCAGATGCAGCCGGGGACAGAGATACACGCTTTACAGGTGTTATGATGGAGGCAGACATCCTCTACTACAGCGAGAACTGCTGTGAGGTAGACAACCACCCAGTGTGGGTGCCATATTTTCATACCAAACTTTGAGAAGATCAACTACAGCAAAGACCGGCGAGACCCCGCGAGAATAGAAGTACGTAACTCAATGCAGCAGCATCAATGGCGTCGTCGTATTGGGATAAAGTCGTACAGAATGTACAGCGTCTGTGGTTATGAACTGGGAACATCCCATGAAGTAAATCAATGAACATCATCATCACCAGCAGCAGCAGGTTAGCGCTCCCGGTCGGACGACGACCTCGTCGTGGATCGTCTCGGAGCAGGAATACATCCCTGTATGGCCGTCTGACGAAGTGAGTTAGTAATAGAGCGTCAACTCCTGTCCTTGTTCACTCGTCTCCGTGGAGGAATGCGTCGTGACGGGCTTGGCTCGCCCTTACTATCCGCATGGAAACTGGATGAGCGTCGCCTCCGCTTGGTGTCCTGGACAGCAGGTAAGTTGAGCCCCAGAGGGACGGAAGGCGCTATCGGAATGTATTCATTGATATTGCTCAAAACCTACGCTAACAATCTGCCCTACTCCACTGGCGTACTGTATGGGTCCTACCGTATTAACAGTATGCTCCACGCTATCTCGAGAGTTGTGCTCCTTGAGATCGGCTTGGGCTTTGACATGTACACTGGTAGAAGCAGCGTATCGTACGTAGTATTGGTCCGTGGAGGGTATACAGCTATCCTCGGCCCCCGGGGAGAGGAACGGCTCTCCTCGATTCAACTGGATGATGACGACAATGTTATACCACTCCTTTGTTACATCATTATCATCATACTCACCCAAACAGCTGTCTCCATGGACCAGCATTTAGCAACACTCGTAAGGCTGTAACCGCCGCCTCCTAGTACTAAAGTAGGTATACCCAGCCTCCGCAGTTCTTGTACCTACACACTTCCTATGGTGAAGTCGGTCGATCAATACTACTACCGCAGTGGCATGCCCTCGAGTTGAGAGGTTGAATCCGCTATGCGACGTGAGGAGGTCCCCAGCCAATGAGTCCGACCCCGACTGCACCACAAGGCAACTAGGCCTGAGGGATAGCACTGTATTTAGGCTGGTCACAACCCTACACATACCGGAAACGCTGAACTAGAGTGCTCAACGTAGTACGGAGAGCATAGAGGAACATGTCGTCCGAAAGGCCTGGCTTCATCGGCAGATTCACGGCATGGCCCTTGGCTGGTGATCCTTCTGGGCCTATGTCGTATATGGCACCTTACGATGAGGATCATGAGGCGCGGTATGAGGATGAGCGATTACCCGTGCCAGGGAAGGAGATAGTGTTGCTCTTGGAGGGTGCTGAGTGTATTGATAATGTAACGACTCGAGGGCAGGAGTAGAACGCTTCCTCCACGGCGTCACCATGATGGTAGTCTATGTCGACGTAGAGTACCCGTTCATACCTGTGCATTGCACATACCGTATCAGAGAAGAAGTGCCCGATTATGAGCCTACCTTTCTAGTAACTTAACGATAGCCAATACGATGTCATTGACATAGCAGAAGCCAGCAGCATTAGCGCAGTGAGCGTGATGCATGCCTGAGGTAATCACTCTCGACATACCACCCCCGTGGCTGCAGGGTAGGACCTCCATTCCAGTTAATGGCTATTGGCCTATCGTCCGTGTTGTCGCATAACCACTGTGCTGCATCAAGCGATGCTCCAGCTGTTCGACAGCAGTAGTCGTAGACACCCTCGAATAGAGTGCAATCAGTCCATGGCAATAAGGACAAGTTGTACTTGACGAACCTGAACGGTTGCGTTCATTTCATGTACGGTGAAGAAGTCTTAGTACGGGTCCACTGCGTGATTCTTCCGATCGGCCTCTGAGGGGTTCCGAATGAACTCTAGGTACCGCCTGTCGTGGAATACAGCAAGCTCATCGAAGGTAGCAGGTTGGAAGCTGTATAGTGATAGACGGTTCATGGGCGACTCAGACTCCTGACCATAATACTCCTTCCCAGAGCGCTGCAATCATAAACCATCTTACTAGTAACCCGTAGCTCACTATGAGGGAGTGGGTGAGACGTAACCTCTCTGGATCCATAGGGTGGTCACCGCAGCCTCCAACGGCGAACTTGAACGCCCCTATATCGCCTCCTTCCACGATTTCATAACGACCCCTTCCTGCAACAAGCAGTCCATTTGTCCGGTCTTTGGTATACTCACCGAGGTTCCTATGGTGAATGTCAGTAAAGTACGCTACCGGCCTATTGGTGTCGAATCTATTGGTGGTACATCCTGGCAGCTTCGGTATCGCTTCGGTATCACTCCGGCCCATACAGAGAAAAGCCTGTCACGGCGAATGAGTTTTCACTCCCTATTGCTAGTCATGCCACACTCACTGTGGAAGGAGAACTCAACACATTGTGGACCGATTCAGAAGCATATAGATAGCTCACACTGGACGGCCACAGTGGTCGCACGCCCTGCACGCATGCACATTTAGTTAAAGTTCCGAGCCTCTTTGATAGGAGCACCTTGGGCCTAAAACCCTAGTTGAGCCCTAAGTAGACTGAAGTGATTCCTACTAGACATTTTACTACTTTAGAAAACACTTAGAGGCGTCTCGGGTATAGGAGTACTTCATGAACACTAGGTTCTGATGCGGATCTGTGAATAGCATACCAGACCATACGTACGCAAGGCTAAACTCAAGTATGCCTTTTTGTTTGATTAAGGGAGAGTTGACCCTACTGTAGGGTCCCAACCTAAAAGGATACCACAGTACCGCGCATCGCAGCCGATGCGCATCGCAGGAGCCGAACCAGAGATATTCTGAGTGCAGCACGACGCTCTACCGTTTGTCCAGAACGACCCAAGAATTTAGCAAAAATTACTTTCTTGCTCGTTCGGTCAACATATCGAGGCGGAAAGCGACGAGAGTGGTCTAATATTGTGAATGCATAAGCCAGTTCTCCACTGATTTTTGACCACAAATAAAAGTAACCTATAAAAAAACCAGATGAGAAATGTAAAAATTTTCTCTTCGTGTAACGGGTGGCAGTCCTGTTATCTTCATGGGACATGTATTGCGTTCATTGCTGGTGGGGGACAATATTGAACGATGCCACGATAGGTGTGACTGTGACACTATGGGATTCTTCCAGGTCGGCCACGCTAGCAGCATAATCATGGGTGGATACTATTTTAGCTGATGAAAGTTAGCTTTTAACAGGATGGATCTTGACTTTGAGCCACAAAGGATAGCAAGATCATGTTTTGTTTTGGGTGAAATCGTTCGTCTTGTGAATTTTGTGCATAATCGTTCGCCCCGAGACGGCTAAATTTATGCCCAGTAGAGATTGATTTAAGTTCCACTGTTTTTATCCATGCGTTTTCCCTCGTCTACTGCTACTCTGGTCGCTGTCTTAGCAGTGCCCGCGTCGGTGACCTGGGCATGTACGACAGTAGTTATCTCTAAAGAGGCATCAAGTACGGGTGTGGCCATGCTAGCCCATTCGGCCGATTGCTTTATCTGTGATTCTAGAGTTGCTCTGGTGCCTGGTCGTGATCACCAGGAAGGCGAACAGCATGATATTTTCGGCATTAATCAGCCCTATCCTCGAGCCTACAACGATCGTGCTGCTATTTACTTACCCCCGAACGGGAAGAACTTCACCGAGCCTAGTGCTAGGATCCCTGAGGTACCGCGAACGTACGGTATGTGGGAGTCCAACTATCCCCTAATGAACGAGGAAGGTCTCACGATAGGAGAGTCTAGTACAACTTCCAAGGTCCCTGGTGGCTTCGGGGTTGATCTTGCTGATCCTAAGACTGGTGAATACGGTGAGGCTAAGTTCAGTATCAAGGAGCTCATCCGTATTGGGATGGAGAGATGCTCAACTGCTGAGTGTGCCATCAAGGAGATGGGCACTACTGCTGTGAAGTATGGTTTCTACCCTGAGTCTGTTGGAGCTGGTGAGTCACTCACCATAGCAGACACCAACGGCTCCGCTTGGGTATTTGATATTAGTCATGACTCCACTGGTAAATCTGCTATTTGGGCTGCACAAAGGGTCCCTGCTGGTCACGTGGCAGCTGTTGCCAATCAGTACACTATCAAGGAGATCGATGAGAACGATCCGGATAACTTTATGTTCTCGCCTAATGTGAAGTCGGAGGCCCTCAAGCTCGGCCTTTGGGATGGTGAAAGTCCGTTTAGTTTCATCGAAGCGTATGGTGTGAACAACGAGAAGCCTAGTTATACTAGCATTAGGTTGTGGTTCATTTTCAATCGAGTGGCACCTAATTCTGGTCTGGAATTCAACATCGATCCTTTCAAGCTGCCCTTCTCGGTGCCTGCTGAGAAGTCCCTCACTCGGGAGGACTTGATGGACATCTTCAGAACGAACTATGAGGACACTCCGTTCGACATGACCAAAGGTATCCTCGCTGGTATATATCATAACCCTTACAGGATTGAGGGTGGTGATGGTCTTAATGAAGTGCCTGGTCAGTTTACTAGAGGTATCTCTATACCTCGCACAACGTACACTATGCTTGGCTACCCAGATCCGGCTAGTCCAGTGGTTTTCTATGGCACAGATCAGCCTAGTTCGAGTGTGTTCGTGCCTTTCCTGGCCAAGACCCTGAAGGAGGCTTCGTCCAATGATCTTGAGGGCAGTAAGAAGTTATACTCTTCCTATTATCAGCTGGGTAATAGAGCTGACTTCACCACCGCAAGAGACAGTGCTTGGTGGGCCTTTGACTTCGTATCTAATTGGATGAACATCAACTATCAGAACATGTCGCAGGAGTACGTCAAGCCGGCGATCGCTGAGTGGCAGCCTAAAATGATCGCTGCTGCTGATGCGGCCACAACAGCGGGGGCGATGGAAGCTCAGAGCTCTGTGGTGGAGGCCTGGTGGGACCTTTCTGACAAGCTTGTTGTTCGCTACAATGATGGCTACTATAATTTCCCCGAGTCACATCCAGAGAAAGTCTTCTATACGGGGTACCCTGCAGACTACTTGTCCCAGATCGGTTTCAATAAGGATTATATTTACCCTAAGTACGTTCAAGCTGCCGAGACACCATTGCACGCTGATATCAAGGTTGAGAAAGTGGGCATGCCCTACTGGTCGGTTGCTGTTGCTGTAATCGTCGCGCTGTTGGTGGGTGTATTTGCTGGGCATGTGTCTAGTAGGAAGCAGCGTGCTGGGTCGGCCGATACCCAAAAGGGACTATTGGCATCAGAACATTAAAAGATTTTTTTGTTCCCACCTGGGGCTTCCCTAAGACAGTCGTAACTTGGTCACACTCTTCCATGAGCATTGTTTTTGCATACGACCACTATGGGGTCGTCGTAGTCCTCATTGTCGGGTCACTAGTCCTCTATCAGTGGAGTTGTCACATCACCATTCCAAATGTTGACTACGGCTACTTGTTTCTGCTGGCAGGAGTTTGTATTTAACCGCCTGTTTTCTATCGTGTTATTTCCCCCTAAGTGTGTGATAACCGATCAGATGTAGATAACGAGAGTTCCCAGGATAGTACTGTAGTGGTCTTGAGTTGTTCTTACGTCACTAGGGTGGTAGGGTCAGTAGTGTCTGGGACATAGCCTTGGTTACTTCTCTGAAGTATGGGCGTTGAAGTACCTTCTTCTATTGGAATGTTCGAAGTATGGAGGAGACCAGACGTAGTTGCGATGGTGGTAATGGAAACGACTATTGCTCGTTGGGTTTTGCTGATGCTCGATTTGTGCGTCATCCGGCATCAGTTGTCGCGCTTACCTCAGCAACGGCTGTGGTACACCGTAATGGTATTTTCATCTCAGGGGAGCGTTTTGTGGTACGCCTCGTACATCGTAATGTTGTTACTAACAGTTCGAATGGCGACAGTATTGATTGATATGAAAGGTGAGCATCGACCGGGTCAATGTGGATGATGTTGGTCGTCAGCAGTGGTCCGCGGCTGCCAGCAACAGCGGCAACGACGCTCTCAAGGACGGAAGAAAAAAAGTGGCAGGAAGGCGAGAAAGAAATCTACACCCTGTCGTCACCACCTGTATAGTGGGGCCGGCCTGGCATCCATCTTTGCTCCATTGCGGTCCTTATATGGATGGATTGGAATGGCTTTATCACGTCATGGTCCCCGAGGAAAGTCGGGGATGAGAGGTAAGCCTGCTAGTCAGCGGCAGTCAATGCTGAGGAGCCACCCAAGAGCGGTTTACGATGATGACAGCGCAGTGGTGGACACTGACTGTGAGGGGAGCACTGGTGTAGATGAATATAAGGTTAAAGCAAGTGTTGTTGGGAATGAGGAAAGGGCGACTGAGGACCTCACTTCGAACAGTGACGTTGCCGTACAGGCTAGTATCGATGACATGGACGGCTGGGTGACCGTTGGAAGGCCTTACCGACGACAACAGTCTAATGTTTCTGATAGTACTTCCTGTAGCAGTAGTGGTAATACAAGAAATGCAGCTGTTATACTCGGCCGATACAATCAAGGGCCTAGGCGTCCATCAACTGCCATGCCGCGTCAACAAATGACCACCACTAGCAGCAGGCTGGGAAGGTATCCCCAGCCTCGCGGCAGTACGCTCCTGTATGGTCTACACCTTGGTACCTTAGGATTGTCTCAGGTAAGCCTCCTTGTCGACGTGACATAAGAGAGAGTCCGAATACAAGGCCTACTGGCAGTTCATGTGTATATAGGTGATGATAGATCGTAGGATGACATCGTTAAAGGGTGTTCAGGGTTAGGGATACGACGAACATGCCGCCATTTGCAGAGTACTTGTCCAAGCAACTCACTCACACTGAGGAGGCTTCCAAGGCATCATCAGTAGTAGTATTCTCTGTGTTGCCCTTGAGGCACTCTCGGTGATCCATCTTAGGAAGATGCGTTCCCGTGTGATACCTATAATGTGGGTAAATCTTCTTCCACAGCTGCCAGTGAGTGCCGAGCTCAGTCGAGTCGCGAGTCGCCGATGAGCTCATCTGACTGCTGTCAAAGTGCCGAAGTCTTGTATCCTGAGTGGGTACAGAAGTTGATAGAGGATTGTGATGATGATGATAAGAATATAAAAGACATTGATGCGGTTCTTGACCAGCAACCGAAGTCGTCAAGACCGGCGGGATTCCGCGCGGCCGCACCTGAGTTCTCTCCCGCCTTGTCAACCATCTACTCGACATTGCAGCCCATAGGCATTTGGGTCGGTCTCAACCATCTGGCCCGCAAGATTGGGTACGCTGCTAAAGGGTGGGAGATGATATGGGACCTCGCGGACATTGGCTGGATTCAGCTCAGTGATTGTGGCCTCTACTGCCGTCTGGCGGACTCATGGGGCTCCTATGAAGCTACTGTGGATCCTGCCTTGTCAGCATCATCATCGTCGACGACGACTACCTCGTCGGTATCGCTAGAGTGCGGGGATATCCAGCAACAGCAGCAGCAGCACTATGGCATATACAGGAGTGGCCTGGAGGCCCAGGAGGGTTGGAGGAAGGTCTGTGAAGGGGAGGTCGATGGTGCCGTAGGTGTAGGAGGCTTGGAGCCTCTGGAGCTCCAAACCTGGACGTGGAACTCACCATCAACTCGAGGCTGCTTGGTTGACAACCCGTCGGTGATGCTGACCGGACTCCTCGAGTGAGTATTACAGATTCCGATGAATCACATTATCATCATTTCCCACCAACTCTATTGAAGTACTATGATCTCGTTATGGAGTTATTACTCACACATAGTGTCCGTTCGTGGATTGCCGCTGCTGCTGCTGCTACTAGCCTTCCTATTATCCTGTCTCCCCTTCTCTTTCAACTGTTATGACTGCTGGACGGCAGGCATCGTTCTCGTCGTCAGCAGCAGCAACAATCAGAGATAGGTCTCCCATCGACTTCTCGTACGTAAGCTTATCACCATGAATATCGGTTAGTTTCAATACTAAGTCAGTGTAGCGTTCCCCCCTCCCCCCCCCCCAATAACTGCCACGATGAAGATATTCCATAGGGTGAATCAAATAGATCAGATAGTCGCTCTGAGTGAACCAGCTAGAACACACTGCTGACGACACACCGACTCGATTCGAAATAATGCCATCATGGAGAAAAAGATGCGAATAATCACGGAACAAGTTGCAAGAGAAAATACCTCGAATCCGCCTAGCTTTTGAGAAGACAGTTCCTGTGTCGCTGTCTCAGTCATCGCAGCTGGGACAATGGCGCAATTCCCGCTAAGTATAACTGCTTGCTTTAAAGTGGTTTTACTTTTGTTTGTGTTTCATAATGTTTAACTCAGTTATAGTAT